AGCAGGAATTTTCTTTTCTTTGCTTAAGCCAAACATATATCTGATTCCAACTTTTTAGATGAAAAATTTGGGTTGCCTAGCGCCTATTACTATTCCACACAAAAAATTGTCATGCACTTTAATCATACCATATTTATCTTCAAAACTCTACGTATTCACACCATCCATTGTGTGTTCCCAACTTATTATTATCAGTGATATTAGTCAACAATAGCATCCAAAAGACGTTGAATTGTCTTTTGGGCATAAAAAAGGCATCAAACTTTCACAATCACAAGCAATGTTCTCTCTCTCTTTCTCTTTCTCTCTTTCTAAATTGTCTCCTAACTTAATCTAACGGTTGAGAAAGGCTGTGGCCATGCAAAGTTGTCGTGTGACCAAGAGAGACAGCGAGCAAGACAACAAAGGGAAAGGATAAGGTCGAAGCTAATGGCTCCCACAAAGGCAAAAAAAAAATGGAATCAATAAAATCATATATGACAGGCGATAATTTATTAATGAGACAATTCAAGAGAAAAAAAAATTCACTGACTTTATAAACTCAACAAGTACATTTAATGAGAGTATTTTGTACAAAGAAAAAATTAATGCTCGAAACAAAATAAAATAAATCGAGTCTTATAAAAAAGTTAAATTAATTTGAAAATTTAGTTCTTATAATAAAAATTAAAGGCAGTATTTTTCTGTGAGAGAAAAAAAAAGTTACTATAAACGATTTAAAAACGATAGTGGGTAAACTGTGAAAGACAATCAGAAAAGTTTGTATAAACCGAGATTAAAATTGTATAAAAAAATGGATACCGGAAAAGGTATACTTTTATTACTGGTATAAGTATATAATTATTTTATGTGAAGAACATATATTACCTATAGTTTGAAAGAAAAAAAAAATTGCATTGATAACATTTCTGATGACATCATTGTACCACTTGTTATAATATAATGTAACCAAATTGCGGTATGAGGTCAACCCCATTGTGGTTTTGTTTTGTACCTCTTGAGGGTCAAAAGTCAAAGGCATGAAGTTTCCAAGATGAGCATTCACACACAGGAAAGAGAAGAAGCAAACTAGTCCTTGGGACTGGAAAACCATTTGCATTGAATAGGGCAGTTAAATCCGCGGTTGACAGCTAACCTTCATGTGGATACAGCGTTCCTTTCACACTTGCATTCTTGTTTTTCTCCTTTTCACGGGTTTTCTTTTTCTTTTCCTTTGCCTTCACCATCTCATCTGCACCACTTATCACTCACTCCCCTCTCTCTCTAGCTACCAACTTCTGTGTTCTTCACTTCTCTCTTCATGGGGTGCTGCTTCAGTGCCAGGATCAAAGCTGAGAGCCCTCCACGCAATGGTACTCAACATTCTTGCATGTCTTCATTTTTATCTTTGCTTCAAATTTTTATTTTTATCAGCTTGTTTGGGTTTCTCTGGAGTTTGAATGCCATAACTAAGTGGTGTGTTTGTGTTTTTGTTGTTTTATTAAATAAAACATGGGTTGTGGATATTATGGAAGATGGTTGCTAATGCTAGCTTTGGCAGCTTCGGGTATGGAAAGGAAATAAAAAAAAAATTATGGAATTTTTTTTCTGTTTGTCTTTGAAGTTTGATTCGTACCATAAGGGGACTTGCTGTAATTGATTATCACGTGCTTGTAGTTTTGCTGATTAGTTATGTCATGTAGGATTTGGTGAAGGTTGGCAGAGTAAAACAAAATAGACAAAAAAATGGAACCGTAGTGTTGGTTTATAGCTAAGGATTATGGAAATAGTCCATATATTTGGAACATGTAATTTATTTGTTTTGGAACTTTGCATGAGCCACTGCCTGTATCAGGATTTTCTCACTGTCTCTTCAATTTGATCTTGTTTTGTTTCAATTGTTAAGTTTATGCAATGCTTGGTGTACTAAGTTTATGTAATTTCTGAAGTGTTTGATGTTTTCATGATCTTCTTACAACCAGACGGTGTAGTGTGTAATTGGTAGAATGATTTTTTTTTCTTCTCTATGTATTCTTACCCTGATCGTTCTATTCAAGAGTAATCTGAGTTTGTAATTAGATGAGAATGCTTATATATGGACTGAAAAATGGGTCTGTTTCTCTTTTGACATGTGCAGGTTTGAGTTCAAAGGATGGTAACAAAGATGAGGATGGCTTGAGCGGCTTAAGCAGCAAGGTCTCCACTCCCTCTGTGCCTCTAACGCCGCGGACGGAGGGTGAGATCTTGAAGTTCTCAAACATGAAGAGCTTCACCTTCGGTGAGCTAAAAATTGCAACAAGGAACTTTCGTCCGGATAGTGTGGTGGGTGAAGGTGGATTTGGTTGTGTTTTTAAGGGGTGGATTGATGAGCAGTCCCTTGTACCAGTTAGACCAGGGACTGGAATGGTCATTGCTGTGAAGAGGCTTAACCAAGAGGGTCTGCAGGGACACAGTGAATGGTTGGTGAGTGTCACTTAGTAGGGCTTATTTACAATTTCGAACTTTGCTTGAAGCCTCAGAATTTAAGATACAGTTCCATTTTGAAGATTAGGAAAATGTCAATTTAGTTTAATGTGATATTTTTTCTTTTG